AAGGTTCCAAATGTGCAAGGTCCCAAATTTGCAAGGTCCTACATTCACAAGGTTCCAAATGTGCAAGGTCCCAAATTTGCAAGATTCTATATGTACCAGGTTCCAACTTTGCAAAGGTCCAAATTTGCAGGGTCCCCAATTTGCAAGGTCCTCAATTTGCAAGGTCCTACATTCACAAGGTTCCAAATATGCAAGGTCCCAAATTTGCAAAATTCTATATCTACAAGGTCCCAACTTCGCAAAGGTCCAAATTTGCAGAGTCCCCAATTTGCAAGGTCCTACATTCACACGGTTCCAAATGTGCAAGGTCCCAAATTTGCAAGATTCTATATCTACAAGGTCCAACCTTGCAAAGGTCCTAATTTGCAGGGTCCCCAATTTCCAAGGTCACCACTTTGCAAGGTCCCATATTTCTAACATTCTAAATTCACAAACTCCCGAGTTCCCAAGTCCTAAACCCTCGCGTTTCCAAATTTCCAGTGTCCACCTTCCAAGGTCCCATATTTCGACGACCCCATCCTTCAAGACCCCTAACTTCCAAGATCCCAATTTCTCATGATTCTATATTTACCAAAGTCCTACATTCTCAAGATTCCATATTTTCCTAATCCTACATTTGCAAGGTTCTAATCTCCCAAGTCCTTAAATTCCAAGACCACATTCCTAGGACCACATTCTCAAATTCTGATATACCCTAACTCCAAACCTATCACCCGTTCTAAATCTCCTGATAGGTCCAAGGTCCTAATCATATCCCAAAATTCCCAAAAACTAATCTCCCATCATCCCAAACTCCCAAAATCCTTTCAACGTCCAAACCCGCCTAATCATATTTACACTTCGCCTCAATTTCCGCTCCACCGCGTGAAGATCCCGTTGTAAAGCAATCTCCGAACAATCATCTCCGAAATTACAGTTAATCCGTATAATGACAAGTCGAAGATTGAAAGCTCAACGCGAGTTAAACGATCGTCAATGCGATGAACCGTAAACGGCAAATGGAAAAAGGAGTAAAACAAGGTCGCCGGAGAAAAAAAATTGATCGTACAGCAGGAACAAAAGGAAGTGGAAAAGGAGCAATAAGAGGAACGTTCGGTCCGGTTCGATTCGATAAAGAGAGGTTTGATGTACGAGCATGGACCGGCGAGCAGTTTGTATCTGCGAGTCGCCGCGTCTGAAAATGAAAAGATCCCCGGGGACGATACGTTGGATTGAATTCGAATGGCTTTTGGCAGCGGGCGTAGTCGTTATTCTGATTTATTGCGGCCGTTCGACGGTGCCCACAGTACCGACTGAACGACGCGAAACAATAAAGCTTGGCTGGCCAACAGCGCTCGTAGCAACGTTAAATAACGAGACGGCCGTGGCCGTGAAAGAGATTCGATCTAAAGTGCCGGTTACAACATTGTCGTAACAACTTTCTTCTTCTTCTTGTTCTTTGCGGGCTGCGCGGACATTTTATCGATCTATACTCGCGTGCCGGTGTGTCTCGCGTGCGACACCTTTGTGAAAAATCTTTGGGGTTATAAGGAATCTTGAATGGACGACTTAGTGAGTCGATGGAGATAAAGATGTTAGTATTTGAGATAAGTTAGGTTGTTTTTGAATTTTTTAGCTGGGGGGTGTTTTGCCGATGTTATGCTAATATCTCAATATTACAAAATCTTATTGTATCAAAAATTCTTATATACTCAGCTGTCGATGTTCCAATATATCAAAATCCTAATACTTTCAAGGTTCAACACTACTGAGGTCCAACAATCCCAAATCCCAATTCTCCCAAGGTCCAATACTTTCAAGGTCCAGTATTTCCAAGGTCCAATATTCCCAAGGTCCAATACTCTCAAGATCCAACACTCCCAAATTTCAATACTCCCAAGATCCAACACTCCCAAGGTCCAATACTCCCAAGTCCCAATACTCCCAAGGTCCAATTCTCCCAAATCCCAATACTCTCAAGGTCCAACACTCCCAAAATTCCAATCTCCCAAAATCCCAATACTCCCAAGGTCCAGCACTCCTAAATCCCAATACTCCCAAATCCCAATACTCCCAAGGTCCAATTCTCCCAAATCCCAATACTCTCAAGGTCCAACACTCCCAAAATTCCAATCTCCCAAAATCCCAATACTCCCAAGGTCCAGCACTCCTAAATCCCAATACTCCCAAATCCCAATACTCCCAAGGTCCAATTCTCCCAAATCCCAATACTCTCAAGGTCCAGCACTCCCAAAATTCCAATCTCCCAAAATCCCAATACTCCCAAGGTCCAGCACTCCTAAATCCCAATACTCCCAAATCCCAATACTCCCAAGGCCCAATTCTCCCAAATCCCAAATCTCCCAAATCCCAAATCTCCCAAATCCCAAATCCCAAATCTCCCAAATCCCAAATCCCAAATCTCCCAAATCCCAAATCCCAAATCTCCCAAATCCCAAATCCCAAATCTCCCAAATCCCAAATCCCAAATCTCCCAAATCCCAAATCCCAAATCTCCCAAATCCCAAATCCCAAATCTCCCAAATCCCAAATCCCAAATCTCCCAAATCCCAAATCCCAAATCTCCCAAATCCCAAATCCCAAATCTCCCAAATCCCAAATCCCAAATCTCCCAAATCCCAAATCCCAAATCTCCCAAATCCCAAATCCCAAATCTCCCAAATCCCAAATCCCAAATCTCCCAAATCCCAAATCCCAAATCTCCCAAATCCCAAATCCCAAATCTCCCAAATCCCAAATCCCAAATCTCCCAAATCCCAAATCCCAAATCTCCCAAATCCCAAATCCCAAATCTCCCAAATCCCAAATCCCAAATCTCCCAAATCCCAAATCCCAAATCTCCCAAATCCCAAATCCCAAATCTCCCAAATCCCAAATCCCAAATCTCCCAAATCCCAAATCCCAAATCTCCCAAATCCCAAATCCCAAATCTCCCAAATCCCAAATCCCAAATCTCCCAAATCCCAAATCTCCCAAATCCCAAATCTCCCAAATCCCAAATCTCCCAAATCCCAAATCTCCCAAATCCCAAATCTCCCAAATCCCAAATCTCCCAAATCCCAAATCTCCCAAATCCCAAATCTCCCAAATCCCAAATCTCCCAAATCCCAAATCTCCCAAATCCCAAATCTCCCAAATCCCAAATCTCCCAAATCCCAAAAATCTCCCAAAATCCCAATCTCCCAAAATCCCAATACTCTCAAATCCCAATCTCCCAAAAACCCAATACTCCCAAGGTCCAGCACTCTCAAATCCCAATCTCCCAAAATCCCAATACTCCAAAAATCCCAATCTCCCAATCTCCCAATCTCCCAAAATCCCAAAACCACCCATCTTCAACCCCCTTTACGTCTCCAACATCCCTCACCTATCAGTAATATTCTATTTTGCGAATCTAAATACGAATCGATCCCATCTTTGCATACGTAACGGCAGTATCTCTTCGGCGAATAATCCGGCGACAATAACCGTAAATCGTGACCGGAAATTCTAGAGTATCGCCAGAGTATCGGCAGAGAGGGAAATATCAGTGTTTTCCTTCCTTTTACGAATGATCATGTTATAGGTATGTACATACACAATTCGCAAGGAGTAGGAGAGATATCTGACTTACCCTTCAGCTGTGTAGACTCGATGGCGAACATGTTCAAAGCAAGTAGCTGAAGGAGCCTCGTCCCAGGAAGCGGCAGCGGCGAATGTTGAAGAAGCGCTCTGAATTCTTTCAGCATCTGAACGCCGGCTTCTTGAAACGTTTCCATTCTGTAACAATGGAGGAATAACAATTAAATTTTTAAGTTTCGTTAAACTTCATTGCGATTTAAATTTAATTTAGATTCTTAGGGTTCTGAGTTCTCCTAGTTCTTCAGATTGTTCAAATTCGTAAAGCTTCAAGTTTTTAAAGTTTTTAAATTTATCAAAATCGTCACATTTTTAAATTATAAAGTAGAGAAGCTTTTAAGTTCCTGAAATCTCTAAAACCCTAAAGATACAACATCCTCGAGTTCCAAAATGCACAAATTCTTCCCTAAATTTTCTAGGTCTTACAAATCCCTAAATTACTCAAATTTCTCAAATCTCAAAAATTTTTTAATTCCCCAAACCCTAAAAATCCTTAAATTCCCCAAATCACCCAAATCCCCAAAATTCCTAAGTTGCCCAAATTTCCTAAATTCCCCAAATTCTCCAAATTCCCCAAATCCCCCAAATTCCAAGAATCCCTGAATTCTGCAAATTCTCAAAATTCCCCAAATTCCCCAAATTACCCAAATCATCCAAATCCCGAAACTCCCTACAGTAAATAATTTGAAAGGCACCGAATTCGATTGGAAAAAATGAAACGAGAGGAGCGAATGGCGACCGAGAGAAAATAAAGCTGTGAATGAGAAATGAATAAATGAACAGGCAGCCACGAGGCGTATCAATCTCACGACAGGATCGTGCATATTTGAAAGATTTTGGTCTGGATGAGGCCATTGACCCGCGGGGCTTGACGCAACGACGAGCTTCCTGCTTTCTTTATTAAATATCGAAAGGATCGAGTTAAACTTAGCCATAATTACATACCCGGTGGCTATTAAACGTACATTTACTACGTTTAAATGCAGATTTATAAGGCTGTGAATTTAATCACAGAGAATTCTACATCGCTCGCGGGAGTGGCGATTTAACGAGGGTGAAATAAACGCATAGCGCAGGAAACGGTGTATACCTTATTAACATCAATACAGTATTCGGTCATTTCTGATTAACTCTTTCGCGATTTGGAATTTGAAATTTGGAAAATTTTTTATTTCCAATTTCCTCAAATTTCAAATTTCCCAGATTCCACTTTCCCCAAATTCCAAATTCCCCAGATTCCACTTTCCCCAAATTCCAAATTCCACAGATTCCAATTTCCCCAAATTCCAAATTCCACAGATTCCAATTTCCCCAGATTCTAAATTCCCTAAATTCCAAATTCCCCAGATTCCACTTTCCCCAAATTCCAAATTCCCCAGATTCCAATTTCCCCAAATTCCAAACTCCTCAAATTCCAAATTTCCCAAATACCAAATTCCCCAGATTCCACTTTCCCCGAATTCCAAATTCCACAGATTCCAATTTCCCCAGATTCCACTTTCCCCAAATTCCAAATTTCCCAAATTCCAAACTCCTCAAATTCCAAATTCCCCAAATATCAAATTCCCGAAATTTCAAATTGCCTAGACTTCAAATCCAAAATTTGCCAAATCTCAAATTCCAAATTTCCCATCTACCCACTGCATTAGATCCCAAATTTTCATATCTCCCAAATCACCAATCTCCGAATCTTGCAATTTCCCAAATTCCCAAGTCCTCAAAATCTTACGATTAATTCTTCAAAGCGTAATTTCAAAGATTTTTGGATGGGTGTAGCAAGGTATGTAATAGGTAAAAGGGTTAACGTCAGAACGATTCGTGGCGGTGTTAATCTCGCTTCGCTTTGCGGCTCCCATGAGAGACATACTGAACAGCCGTACCCTCGTTAAACATCGCTAGAGGAACGTGAAGGTGAGATCTCACGTAACGAGGCGCTATCTTTCCCACAACCTCGATCTCTTGTTCGTGGCTACCTGCCCCGTGCTACCTGCTCAATTTACGCCGTGCAATCCAACTCATCGTTCCCCTGGGTTCCAGATCTACGAAACCCTACTTATATCGCCGAAATTCGGGATGCGCTTCTCTCTGAATCACCATCGAACGTGTCGATCCTGTACTCGATTTCTGAATTACAACACGGTCTATTAGACTGTAAATTTTTAATCGTTAACCTAATAGCTCGATAATCTTTTACGAGTTTCCTCTGTGCGTAAAGTGCTTTGCGAAGGGGTGAATTTGTTTCAGAAAATATGTATCAATTACTTTTCTTCTTATTTCTCGTATTCTCGTTCTTATTTCTCCCTTGAAGTTCAGTTACGATCATGAGTGCTTCGAGAAGTAATTACAGAGTTTATGTTACGAGTTAATATAGCCATAAATACAGCCGGCACTAGTTTTCGAATAAGTTCCATAATCGATACGAGTACCTCTGCAACCTATAAATTCGCCGAACTATCGAGTGGCCGTGCAGCTTTCATTCGCGCGAAGAAGAGCCTCGAATTTCCAATAAAACCGAAAGCAAACGCGAACGAGAGTTACTCAAGGCCGTGGAATCTCTCTCGCAAAGCGTGAAAGAGGAAACTGAGCTTGCACCGAGGTCTAACCGTAAAACTCTCCTCTTTACTAAGGACCCACCGGAGGATATTCCAATTTCACCAGCGGAGACCTTTGACATCGACCGAAGGTTTATTCGAGACCTGGTACCATTTCGATATTCCGCCAAACTGAAGAGCCGTGGATCCGGTGGATCTAGTTACAACAGCCTCTACCTTTATGGTAATAACTTTATTTCAACGTTTGCTGGATTCACGAGGCGCTAACATCCTTACGGATCGTTTCGCGGAAATACGCGACCCTTATCGGATTACTCCGTAACCTTCGACTGTTTCTATTCCACTATTTTTCTGCGCTTTAGTTTATTTTTCTATTTTCTGGGAGGTTAGGTGCATTGGTTAGGACGTTCGCTGTTACAGTATTAAATTTTTGCATTATTTTAACGGATTTGACTCGTGACGCGCTCATGACGCACTCTTGACGCACCCATGTCGCACCCATGACCCACTCTTGACGCACTCGTGACGCATTCTTTATTCACTCTTGACGCAGCCATGACGCACCCATGGCGCACTCTTGACGCACCCTTAACGCACTCGTGACGCATTCTTGATCCACTCTTGACGCACTCATGACGCACTTGTGATCCACTCTTGACGCACTCATGACGCATCCATGACACTCTTGACGCACCCACGACGCATCCATGACCTACTCTTGACGCACCCATGACGCATCCATGACCCACTCTTGACGCACCCATGACCCGCTCTTGACGCACCCTTGACGCACTCGTGACGCATTCTTTATCTACTCTTGACGCATCCATGACCCACTCTTGACGCACCCATGACGCATCCATGACCCACTCTTAACGCACCCTTGACACACTCGTGACGCATTCTTGATCCACTCTTAACGCACTCATGACGCATTCTTGATCCACTCGTGACGCACTCATGACGCATTCTTGATCCCCTCGTGACGCACTCATGACGCATTCTTGATCCCCTCGTGACACAATTGTTACAAACTTATAAAGAACTCGTGACGCACTTATGACGCACTCGTGACACAATTGTTACAAACTTATAAAGAACTCGTAACGCACTCATGACGCACTCGTGACACAATTGTTACAAACTTATAAAAAAACTCGTGACGCACTCGTGACGCACTCCTTCACGTGTGATCAATGTGACTCGAATGTCGAGTATGTTACAATGTGGAGTTTAAGTTCGATCATTCGCACAGTCAATGTAAACGGAAGTTACTGAAGTTGCATTCGTCAGCAGAATGCAATAACAGTTCTCTGGCGATTTGCCTGGCAGTTTAGCGATGCTTCTGACAAGTTTGCGTGCCACATTCTGCCCCAAGTAACCGACGAGTACACCGTAAACACGCTGCAGGTAATTATTAACACTGGACGGTATTCTTCATCGCGCGAACGGCGACTGTTCATTAAGGAAGCTTTATTATTCCGCTTCTGGCTCGCTAACGTCTGCATTTACGTCTTTCATTCGTACGAGTTTCTAGAAGGGAACTTTTCTGTCGGTGATTGTTTGAGAGATTTGATACGAATGGTTCGGTACGATCGGTATGATAGGATTGATACGATTGGACGATGATTATTGTGAGGGTGCGAAGATTACCGATGAGTGAGCTGTACGAAATTACGAATAGTGTAATAAATTCTATAATAACTTCTGAAGATGATAGTCTTTCTACAGATGGTTGACGCTAAAATGTGTCATTCTAACCCTAACCATGTAGAACAATAATCCATTTTCACCACCATCATAAAAATCCTACCTTTTTAATTATTCTACATTTTAATCCTAGCTTTTTAATTATCCTACATTTTTAATTAAAGAGCATATTCCACAGATAAGAACTTCATGGTGCCACTGACCACCCTGCTGACCATACCCGCAATGAAGAAACGAATCAACCGCTCCTAATCAGTGTCCAAATCATAATCAAGTACCCGATCAGATAACCAAGCAACGAAGTACAAAGTAACGATCCAGTTGACTGACACGTAACACCAACAACGATGCTAGAACTGATACAGAATGTCCGAAGTCTCGAAACTGGTCCAGTGTCCGACCAATTAACTTTACGACGTTTTGATAGACACTAAAAACATGATTAGCATAGATGTCCCATGCAGGTAACGCTTAATAGAACACCTAAAGGTGGTATATCTCGATGAACCATGTGAACGGCGATAAACGAGCTCCTTTCACGTTCAAGGCGCTTTTCGATCCTCAACGACACTGTCGACGACCGCTTCGAGGCGCCTTTGCCTAAAATGGATACACCATTCTCACGATAGCGAAACTGTCGCCTCGGGCCATGTCCCATCCGCACCAGATTATCGTTCGGGCGAATCCATTACGTTAGCAACACCTTACCATCGTTTCGATCTATTAAACGGATCGTTCTTTCAGCAGAAGGCAATTACTTATTTTAACGTCTTATTTAGGTCGGCCTTTTTTCTTCAGGCGTTTTTTAACTGGGATTATCCGGGGATTTTATTGTTGTGTTCGAGGGTTTTATTGTAATGTTTTTATGTAATGTTTTAC